GTTCTGAACCACAAAGTGAACGACTAGCAAAAGAAATGGTATGACGTTGTTGGTCATCACCTATTTGGAATAATTCCGCACATAAACCTATAAGAGAGGCGTCGGTTTGGATACAAAAAGGAAGGTTAAAATTAGGGTGCGTCAAAGCGACTTGATTACAAAAAGCATTTTTAATTTTATTAAAGGAGGATTTTTCTTTATCTTTGAAGGACCAGGGAACATTTTTCTTAAGGAGGTGAGAGAGAGGATTTAAAAGTTGAGAATGATTTTGTGAGAATTTCCGGTAGAAGTTACAAAAACCAAAGAAAGATTGAAGATCTTTTCTGTTGCGGGGTTCAGGAAAATTTCTAAGAGCTACTACTTTTTCAGGGTCCATTATGGTACCACTGGAAGAAACAAAGTGACCAAGAAATTTAATTTGAGTTTTGAAAAAATGACATTTTTTAAATTTAAGAGTGAGACCAGATAAAGAGATTTTTTGAAAAATCCATTCGAGACTTATTAAATGTTTTTCAAAAGATTGAGAAGAAATTAGGATGTCATCAACATAAGTATGAATATCATTAGGGAAAGGACAAGGGAAAGTGACATTATTCAGGGCAGCTTCCAAACCTTTACCAAAAGCAGCATTAGAAATGTTGAGACCAAAAGGTACAACACAAAATTGGTAAGACCTGCCATCATATAAAAAACTAGTATATGGGCGAACAGAAGGATCAAGGGGGATTTGCCAATAGCCTGAAGTAAAGTCAAGAGAGGAAAAAACATTTTTATTATTAAATTTAGCTAAAATTTCATCAATAGGAGGGGAACTGTCACGGGTAGGAAGAATAATCGTGTTAAGTTTCCGAGCATCTAAACAGAGCCGAATAGAACCATCTGATTTAACCACAGTAACTAATGGATTATTATAAGGAGCATCTGACCTTTCGATAACCCCCCAATTAAGCATCTTGTCGATTTCCTGTTGAACAGCAGAGCGACGAGAGAATGGGACTGGGTAAGGTTTTATTTTGTAGGGCTTGTGCTCACCAACATTAAATTTATAAGTAAACGAATTATGTAAACCAGGATGATCTTGAAAAATGTGTGTATATTTATTAATTAATGAGTCTATGGAATATTGTTGTTCATTGTTAAGGGGCATATCATCAAGAGCAAAGTTTTTTGTTGAAGGGAAAGGAGAAGAATGTTCAGGAAGTTCATAAGATAAAAAATTTTGAGAGAGATCATTAATTGTTACATGTTTTAAGGTATTTATTAAGTCATTAGAGTGATTAAGGGAAATAATTTTAAAGGGAACAGGAGCATTTGGAGGAGGCAAGATAATTTCACGGTTTTTATAATTAAGAGAAATATTATTTTCAAGTAACCAGTCAGTACCTAAGATAAGAGGAGTGGATAAGTGAGGGACGATTAAGAAAATGGCATGAGTTTTGAAGTTATTAATATTAAAATTTACATAGATTTGAGAATTAATTTTGACAGATTTATTGGTAATTGCAGTTTTTAAGAATATACTAGAAAGAGGAAAAGATGGGATATTAAATTTAGAGGGATCATTTTTTAACAGGTTATATAAATTTTCGGACATAGCAGAGACAGAAGCACCAGAATCAAGAAGAGCAGTATAGAGATTATTAAAGATAGAAATTTCAATTTCGGGACGAAAACTAAGAGAAGGAGAGATTTTTTGATCAGGGCTTAATGGATGAGAAAGAATATTTAACTGAGGAACATTGGGAGACGATCCAGAAACTGTCCTCACGAGACTGGTCATTGGTCGTTTCCCGCAGGTGGTGATTGGGATATATTAGGAGTACTGGAAAGATTGGGAGAAGAATTGTTTGTGGAATTATGGGGTTGACTGTTATTATAAGGAGCTCGTCCATGGAATCTATTTTGATAAGAGTTATTACGGTTATTA